TCTGAGATCAGAATTGATCCAATTATATTAAAAACAAATTCTTTAAGATTGCTTGGATTAGTGGTTTACTTTAAATTAGCATCAGTTGATCCAAAAATCTAAAAATAGATACCATAGTTTAAGAACCACTGAACTATAAATGACAGTAATCCTAGGACATAGCCAGAGCGGTCTACCTTTGGTTTAGCCATTCCAAAGACCAGCTTCTCCACGCTCTTCTTGCCGACTCCAGGCTCCCTCTGCTGGCTGCTTACCACAATGAAATCGTCCCTGCAGCCCCCGAAGGTGATGACAGACTGGTAGGAGAAGGTCAGCAGCGTATGCTGGAAAAACAAAACAGCTCCAGTTGGAAAAACATAAAGACTGAAATGGATACAAACAGGGAACATGTTGAGAATTTGTTGGCGATCCCTGAATAGTAACTGGAAATCATGTGGGAAATCATTTTGGTTTCTGCCTTTTTTGAAGAGCAAATTGAGTGTGAAGATCCTGACATGATTCTCAGAGACATATCGTGATTTTCACTCTGCTCGTTTCTCCTCTCTGGCCCTGTGTGAGCAGCAGAGCTGCACAGCTGCCAGACCAAGAATGAAATGGATCAGCAAGGGCTGCTGGGAATTACAGAGTCGGCTTTAACCTTGTTTATTTATTGGAATTTGTTTTTTGTCAGTGTCAAGGACATCAAATCAGGAGCTGACTTTTTTCCCTGCAGTTTTTGGGGAGGAAACCAAACACCACAGAGAAAAAAATGTTCCAGACAAATGGGTCAGAAATCCACTTTAAACACTGCAGTTGTTGAAAGAATCAATGGTAAAATATACATATGTAAACAGTAAAACAAAAACAAAAACTGTAATTGTGGTCACAGCCTTTTGTTTAGTAACTTAGTTATTTTAGGCTCAATGAACTAAGCTAAGCTAAGCTAAGCTAAGCCGAGTCATCGTTTTTTTTCAGCTCATATATTTCTGGACTAACTTTACATTTTTTAAGCCATGTCTGACACACCTTTTGCCTAATCTTCTAACTATAATGGAACTATGCTGTATTGAATTTTTCAAACTATGCTGCTCTAAATTTAGCAGTTAGCTGTTAGCCAATATGAACTTTTTTGGCTAAATCGTAGCTGTTTTGCTGGTTTTGTTTAGGCTAACCTGTAGTTGTTGTTTCTAACAGTTCAGTATACTGTTTTTGAGTCATGTCAGACTTTTAACTTTTAAAAGTTAACTACTCACATAGCCATATTCACAAACAAACAACAGTTTTCTGTCTAACGTAAGTTTGTATTTTTGACTTTTGACCTCTCTGGGCGTAACACCCAGCTAACATTGGGCTGTGTGTTTTGGAACGTTTGCTTAGGCTAACTTTATTTGATTATTTTACATTATTTTTATTTGGACAACTCAAACTGTCCATCACATCTGTCCATTTACGACCAGTACAGTCGCCCCCTGGTGGTTTGCTGTTTACTGTTTTTTAACTGGATGACTTTTGCTCTACAAAGTCCTCACCATGGTGTAGTCCAGCACACACAGTCCATCCTCAGTGACTGCCAACCAAACCTGACTCTGCTCCAGGGAGGAGGGAGGGACAGGCTGTGAGGAGGAGGAGGAGATGAAGAGGAAGGAGAAACAGAGCTTCAGGTTACTGCTGGAGGACAGACTCTCACACTGGTCCAACCTGTGCCGATCAGCATACTGCAGTATTTTCTTTCTTTTACGCAGAAAGTAATGTTTGTATTAACAGCAAATACACACACACTGGCACACATACTAACAGCAAATACACACACACTGGCACAGATACTGAACGTGTGTGTGTGAACAAAGTAGCAAGACAAATCATGACAAATCATGACAAATCATAATTTTACCAGTATACTGCCCTCTAGGTGTGACAGTCTATGAATATTAAATCTGGAGACGTGATGTCATGATGTTTGTTTTAACTGAAGACTTTTTTGAGTCTTTTTTTGCGTTACCTTAGCACTGAAGAGTTTGGCCCCAAACATCGGCCACTTCCGGGCCACAGTCAGGTATATTCTCACACACTCGGATGCACTGCACCCACGCAGCAGAGACCACTTAGTGGCCAGTCGCTCAGTCAGCTCTCTGTGAGAAAAAATCGAGACACAAAGATGTGACGGTGAAGACCTTCCACTAACCTTCTTAACTCTAGTCTAGGAACAGCTTAGAATAGCAGCTATTTCACCTGAGCTGCTCTGAGCTGCAGTCCTGTTTGTAGCGTCTGGGGTAGAAGCGCTCCAAGGCCTGCAGGAGGATCATCTGAGATTTAGACTGAGGAGAACTGGAAGGAGAGGAGGCAGGAGGTCGCTCCAGGTCACCATGTTCAACCTGTAGGAAGGAGAGTAATTATCCAATGAATGAGTAATAATAAAGTAATCACTGTTAGGTCTTTTTTTTTGTCTTTGTACTGAATTCCATTTAAAAAACAGAACAAAGATGTTTCTGTTCTGTTACTGCTTCAGGTGAATGGTTCCTGTCTAAATGTGAAGAAAGTACTTTAATCACAGAGACTGGAAATCACTATTTTAAAGTACCTGAAGGGGGCAGCAGTGAATAAAAACAATCATATGTCCTGTGATGTGAAATCCATAGTTTTTGTCCATGGACTTTGGTGTGAAAAATTAAACTATTGTAAAACTGCACACATTATAACTTCCTGCACAGGGAAAAGCTAAAAAACATCTAACAACAAACTTTCATCTTACTTTGAAACCACTGACGGTGGTGTAGGTGTAATGAGGTAATTATTAAAATAAAAAGCTAAAAACAATTTTCTCACACCTTCACTTTACAAAAAACCCACAACTATCCCTTTAACTCTTTATCTCTCCTCCTCCTGGGTTCAACCTCCACAGACCTGAGCCAATAGTGCAGCCACCTCCAGAGCCAGCTCTTTGTTCACAGGGAAGTGGCCTTGCTGAACCTCGTCGTTCACCTGGTATGCCAGCAGGAGGCGCTCTCTCTCTGTCTCTCCTTTCACCTGAAATTTGAAACACAGCCTGTGGGGGGAGACGAGGGGAGGGTGACACAGATGAGATCAGCAGCTGTGACCATGTGACCTGTGACCATGTGCACAGTTCACAGTAAAACCAGATGTTGTCGATGGAAATCGACCTGTTCTTATACGTCAGTCGAACGATCCTCGTCCCCTCGTTTTTCCCAGGGTGCAGCTCCTTCAGAGCCTGTTCCCACTTGGAAATGACATCACAGATCTGACAGACAGGAAACACATCAGGGTCAAATTACTCCTGTTAAAACCCTCAAAGTCCGGGGGCTCAACGCGCTCTAATGACCCCGGGGGCCAAGGTTTTATTATATTTTAATGGTCACAGACAGTGGAGTGTTTCAGTGAAGTGACTTCATGTTGATCGTCATCTTACAGCCATAATCTACACTCTGTACTGGTCTGTTTTTAACCAAAGTCATCGAACAGACTCAGGTGCCTGACTTTGACAAAAGCCAAGGCGCCACCTGCTGGAAAGGTCCCTGCTGTAGAAATAAAAATAAAATAAAACAAATAAATATAATAAAATAATAATAAAAAATAAAATTAAGAAATTAGATGATTTGCTACTAGCACAATTTTGTCAAGCTCTGTCTTAATAATAAAAAAATCACGCGGTTGGTGCCTTCAAATAGACCACCCGCAAGAAGGTTCACAAGCTGTGTGATTTGGGTGGTGGTCGAGGAGACTGCTGACCCCGCAACCTGGTAATGGACAGTACTGCAGTATATATATATATATATATATATGTATATATATACTGCAGTATATATATATATATATATATATGTATATATATATATATACAGAGAGAGAGAGAGAGAGAGAGAGAGAGCAGTACTGTCCATTTAGATCAAATCAACCTGTGTTGAATTGTTCTCCTTAATGTCTATTATAATCACATAACAATAACAGAGTCAACACAAACCCAACAAACACTGTCCAACTCTTTGTCTCCGTACCTTGGCAGACGGCTGTAGACAGTGCTGCAGGTCTTTACCAGAGGGATCGTCAGTGAAGAGGGCGAAACCAGACAGGTGAGGTTTCCTCATCCCGATCCTCTGGTTCAGAGTGTTTAGGAATTCTTCCACTGTGGTGGAGCCGTCAAAGCCCACAACCTGACAGTGAAGGACAGTGAAGGACAGTGAAGGACAGTGAAGGTAACTGTGGACGCTGCTTCACACACACTCTTATCTTATTACAACAAACTGACTGTGTTACAGGCGTCAACCAAATAGAACAATTTGGTTTTAATATTTCCTCTGATGAGCAGTTTGATTTCTTCAGGTCAAATCCATCCATGTTCAATAACTTCAATAACTTTTCAGTGTTGCCATGGCAACTGGAGACTAATAACCATTCACAGTTATTGTTCTCTTCAGGTCTAACGGACAGTGCATAGGAATAAGTGGTAGATACTGGACAGATAAATAGGTGGCAAGTCTGAACCACAAGAGGGCGACGTAACACTTTAGGTAAAGAATGTCCACCTCAGACAGTAAGAAGAAAGGCTGTGTGTGTGTGTGTGTGTTACCTGATATGTGTTGTTCATGAAGTGGACTGGGATGCTGAAGGGCAGGGAGTGATGGTAGGGGTTCCTCAGCAGGATGGAGACGATCTCCATCCGTGAGGGTTTGGCTTCTCTCTCTCCGTTCTGCAGCGTTCTCTCCACAGACCTCTGACAGTACACGGCGTACTTTCCCACTTCACTCCTGCGGGAAAATAACATTCATGTCATGTGATATCACATCTGGACATCTTTTCCAGCTAACTGTGCTTAGGTGTAGCATCGATAACACTCAGAAGGAGGCGTTAAAGAGTCACATGGCAGGAAGGAGTTGTGATGAACCTCGGTGAAATAAGCTACAGTTTAAGGCGGTCCAGTGTCTGACCCATGACCTCACAGACCAGGGGTGAGTCTCTGTCCACCATGGACCCCAGCTTTGACAACATTCTCCTCACTAACACTACTCTCAGAGAGCTGAATTTGTCCCGTTCTTGTCCTGACTCTACAGCGAGTGGAGACACATGATGTCACTGACCTCGGATCAGCGTTGCGTTGCAGATATTGCCTCAGGTACCAGAGGAAATGTTGCTGAGGTAGAAACAGCGCCACACACAGAGACAACAGCTGCCAGCACTGAGGAGGAGGAGGAGAAAACACACCGAGGTTAAACTAAATGTTAAGGAGGAGAAAACACACCGAGGTTAAACCTCCATCTGGTTTATTTAATGATTCACATTTTCCTCAACATTTTCCTCAACATTTTCCCAAAATTCTAAAACACATTCTAAAAGTTCCGCATTAGTTCAACATTAAACCGTACCAGTTCAAACTGACCTGTGTGAGTGAGTAATTGTTCGGTGTCCTCTGATTGGTCTGTTTAATCAGCTGACAGTACATCTCATTCTGCAGCTCCGGGTGAGTCAGACACACCTGCAGTGCATTCTGGGCCAGGGAGGTGTGGTAGTCGATGGACGGAGACTCCACCAACACGTTGATGAAGAGCTGACAGGACTGCAGTGGAGAGATGGAGAAAAGGAAATGTAAAAAGTGTGTTCCCCCAAGTGGCCGGCAGGTGGAGACAAAGACGAACAAACGTCAGGACAACCGCTCCTGCGGACTACGGGTTTTGTATCAATTTACTAAAACATGACACGTTTATTTACTGCAAAACAAAAGGATGTGTTTAATATTGTATAAATTAAATCCAGCTCCGTTTTTGAGCGAAAGACTAAAAGCTAAGTCAACACGATAGCTAAAAGTAAATCAAAATATAACAAACAGCTGAGAGTTAGCGAAGAAGACAAAGGCTGGCTGAAAATGTGGAAAACATGTTAAACTTTTATAAACCATAAACCTAAGATTAACCAGGAGGTCATTAGAACGTCGACAACAGATGTGAAGGATGGCTAGGAAGACATTAACCAAAGAAGCTAAAACATAACCAATAATTAACCCAGATGTAATCTGAAAAAGAGCTAAAGTAAAAGTAGTTTAACCTTAGCTTAGAAATACCTCGACCTCATCTTTAAAACATCTGTAAAAACACTGAATACAAAGTTACACCGTTTTGGGTCGTGAAATTATTCGGAGATCACTTTTGTTTAAGGTATTTTAAAAATGCATTATTTTGTGTTTTATTCACAGGCAGCTGAGGAAATCCTCTTTGAACCTTTCAAGATCCTTAAAGGACCCGGACACATGAAGAGGAGCATGGGTTTGAAAAGCGTGTCACTTCCTTTCAGGCCTTGTCTCTGTGTGTGAATGTGTGTGTTTTTAAGGCTGGCTGCTCAAACAGAAGATCCCACAGTCCTGCTGGAGCTGCTCAGGGCTCGGAAGGGTGTGGGAGGGGGTGGAGGGAGGGGGGGGACAGGGTCGGGAGGTGTATTCTGGGTGGGCAAACTGTGGGCTTCAGAGCTGAAAGGAAATCAAGAGGAATCTGCTGGTCTTTCTACAGACTCTCTGTTCTCCTCTGATCCTGTTCTCCATCCTGCAGCTTCACATCCACGCCTGTCACTCTGTGAGGACCCTGACCTCCCGTGTCTCCCCCCTCCCCCTCCTGTCACACTGGCTGTAAACAACAGGACCAGTTACAGCCTCAATCAAGGCCATTATCTTTCCGCCACACGTTTAATGAGCCGCGGCCCTCGACCCTCGGACCCTTTGATCTGGTTTAGAGGCAGAAGAAAAGTTTAGTGCGGTGCATCCACGAGTGGTGGGAGATAAAAGACTCCAGTAGGATGGATGACGCTGAGAACTGAGGCTCTCCCAGTCACAGAGGAGGATTTACAGGAAAAGGATGAAAGAAGAAGAGAGGAGGCGACAATGACGCGGAGGAGCTGAAGAGACCGACCTTGAACAGTTTGAGAGCTTCTGTCTGCAGAGCCTCCGAGGGGAGAGTGGTGAGAGGAGAACGGAGGCCGTCCTTACAGAAGCTCAAGGCCCCGCTCCTCCATAAGGCCGAGTCTGGGAAAATAAGAGCACACACACACACACACACACATACACACACACAGAGAGATTACATTTCAAAGCTCTAACGACTCAACAGCTGAGAGACGCTCACACACAGAGGCTCTTCAGCCATAAACTGCATCTGCAGAGTGGATTAAAACTGCCAGACTCTCAGGATCTCAGTGACACAGAGCGCCACCCTGAGGACATGTGTGAGCACTCTGTTTATTAGAACTTTTCATTAAAAAAAGCAAAAGTTGCCGTACAATTTAGATTTCTTTGATCCTGAGTAACTGAGTAATGAGTCAACTAACCAGAGAACCAATGAATAAAAATTTAAAAAATACATTTTAATGTGTGAAATATATATATATACATACATACATACATATATATATATATATATACATATAT